AGAAATCCATTAAATACAGTAAGCAAAAAGATCAAAACCGCTTCCACCAATATAGTCGTCAAACGGAATTGATATGGATCACTTTTAATCAAACCGTATATATAAAATGCAATCATTAGAAGGAATGATAATATGATGAGAATGGTGTCGGGACGAATCAAGAATTCTTTAACGTCTGAATTATTGTTTAATAATTATTATTAATTTTTGTTACTATTATTAATTCTTTTATTTTTCTTTTATCTTTGATAAATTTTTTATAAATTATAAACTTACATTTCCTTGTTAAAGCAGGTTTTTTATGTTCAGCTAAAATTTTATTGGTTACTGAAACCAATTTTCTAATAAAAAAAAAAATATTCAAAATAATTAAAAGTTCTTTCAAAAAAAGAAATTATTAAATAATTAATTACGATGAAATAATGAAATAATAAAGATTTAACATACTCTAAAGCTTCAACACTTGTTAAACCTCTCTTTAAGGTATTATCCTGAACTACTAAATCACTTGGTAAATTCGAAACTCCCTCGTCATAAGTATAACATCGCATATTACTACCTTTATTTAATTCCAATTCTATCATAAACTCTTCATCACCTGTTATTTGTTTGCTTAAGCGTAAGGGAATTGTATCAGAAGAAGAGTTATTAAAATCGGAATCAGATAAAGGTGTAGTAGAAGTATTAGTAATGGAGAGGTCAACAACTTCGTGGTTGGGAGTTAATTCATTATTATTATTGTTGTTGTTGTTAATGTTATCTTTATAAATGTTATCATTATTATCATTGTTTTTATAATTGTTTTCATTTTCTCGGTTTTCTCGGTTTTCTTGAGTATCATTATCATTATCAAGTGAAAAAGAATGGTTTTCCATTATATCATCGTCATGAAGATTTTTTTGGAATTGGACAATTTTATCCGTTATTCATATGATTTATTATGATTATGTAATAATAACAATAAATAACAAACAATATATATGCTTATTTTATTTTATTTACTGAATAAATTACAATAACATTTCATAAATAATATGCTATCTACTCTACTCTACTCTACTCTACTCTATTATGTATTATAAACATCAAATAATTTAAGATAAAGCCAATTGTATTTGTTCTATTGAGTCTCATAAATCTTCTTGACTTGTAGAAAATGAATTATGAAGATATGATTAATAATTAGTTGTTGTGTAGTTAGGAGAATTTGAATTATTCAATTTCTTTAAGTTCTTCATTTGTGGCAAAGATTATATGTTAGTCACTAGAAAATCAGGATAAATAATTGTCCCTGTATGATAATATTTTAAAATGTACCATTTCAGAATCTTAAATAAGATTTGATTCAGTAAATTTAAATTTAATCATGTGAAATCGAAAAAAATTTTCCGAAATAACACAAAACACTAAAAACGAACTGCAAGTTTTATTATCTGGTAAGAAACTATAACAATTTTAAAGCGGTATTTTTTACAACTCTAACTTTGCCCACG